GAACTCAGGGCTTTGTGCTTGCTTTGCTTGTTTGCTTGGCTCGAGGTCTACCACTTGAGCCACCACTGTGATGGTTATTTTGGAGATAAAGTTGAGCAATTTTTTTTTTTTAACCTAGATTGGCCTTAAACCAAGATCTTCAGATCTTAGTCTCCTGAGTAGCTAGGGTAACATGCATGGATGTATAATTTACTGGCATGAAGCAGATTTACATTATTTTGTAGGTATCATCACCACTCATCTCAAGAACTCTTCCTTTTTCCTAGTCTGAAATATAGCTATTAGACAGCTTCCCAATCTTTACTCCTTCCAGCCTGTGGCAGCTATCATTTCCCTTGCCTTTTCTGTGAACTTGATTACTCTTGGTATCCCATGCAAGTGTTAGTCCTTCAGTGACTGGCTTATTTTACTTTGCAGATAAGAACCCTAAGGTTTATTCATATGGAAGCATATATTAGAATTTAAAGGCTGAATAATAACCTTTTGTTGTGATTGTTGTTTTACAGTCCTGGGTCTTGTGCATACTAGGCAAACACTCTACCACTGACTGAGCTATATCTTCAGCTTTTTGGGCTGAATAATATTCAGTCCTATGTGTGCACTACACTTTTTTTTTTTTATCCATCTTGTACCATCTAGAGTGCATGGTATCGTGTATGTATATGTCTCATGGCATTATTAATAGATGCTTAGATTACTTTTAGAGTTTCAGTACATATTACATTTTGTGTAATTATCTTTTTAGTATGAGTCCTGTAAGTGGGATTGCTTAGAGGGTGTTCAGATTTTATATTTTGATAAATATTGTCATATTGCCTTCTAAAGAGTCCCAATTTTTACTCCTTCTCAGTAGACGTGAGAGTCACTGAACCCTGGCCAATATTAGCTTTATTTTTTTTTTTCTCTTTGTACAACTAAACAGAAAATAACTTGTTTTCTTCTGTGTCCTGAATGACTTTGTTTTAGAAATCAATTATATCTTCAAATGATACTTAGCTGCTCTTAAGAAGATTTAAGAAAATGTTTGTGGTTCTGAAAAGCAAAACCAGTTGGTATTGTCCCAAGGTGACAGTTTTTGAAGGGCACATTGAAGGGAAGCTCCTGTGTCTGTATTAAAAAAAGCAGCAGTCTTAATCTCATATCTGACGTGTTTACATATGACTTACCTCGACAACAAAATTGGATAGTCATTGGTAGTTGCAAAGCAACACGTATTGAATTCCTGCCATGGGTAACATCTGGGTTGTGTTAGGGATGTGGTGTTATGGTCCTTGTCCTTGTGGAACTTATGCTCTACATCTTCAAGAACACCTAATAGGAAGTAGCAGGTGACATGTATAAAAGCACATTTTTCAGGGCATTCCTATGGGAGTTCCTTATCATTACTGATACTGATATGATAAATATTCATTGAATAAATCAAACAGATTCCTCGATGTATGAAGTTCTAGAGTGTGTGTGTGTGTGTGTGTGTGTGTGTGTGTGTGTGTGTGTGTGTGTGTGTGTGTGTGTGTGTGTGTGTGTGTGTGTGTGTGTGTGTGTGTGTGTGTGTGTGTGTGTGTGTGTGTGTGTGTGTGTGTGTGTTGGTTCTGAGGCTTGAATTCGGGCTGGGAACTGTCCCTGAGCATTTTTGCTAAAGGCTTGTGCTCTATCACTTGAACTGCAGTTCCACTTTTGTTTTGTTTTGTTTTTTTGGTATGTGTGTGTGTTGGGGGGGTAGTTAATTGGAGATAAGTCTCAAGGACTTTATTGCTGGGCTTGACTTGGAATCACTGTCCTCAGATTGCAGCCTGCTGAGTCGTTAGGATTATAGGCATGAGCCACCAGCACCCAACTGAGGTCTCAGGGTTCTCTGGGTGCTTTGAGGTCTCTCCTTTTGGGGAGTTGGAGTATTATAAGCTGTAATGGACCAGATTCATTTAGCTGAGAAAGATTTTTATCAAGGGTACTTCATTGTGCTTTTGCTTCACCTTTTGCCTTATAACCTTTTAGTGCTTTTTTCTTTTCTTTTTTCTCTTGGTTTTGGGGTTTGAACTCAGCCTGGGAACTGTCCCTTAGCCTTTTTGCTCAAGGCTAGTGCTCTACCATTTTGAGCCACAGCTCCATGGATAAGATTGTCATTGACTTTCCTGCCCAGGCTGGCTTTGAATAGTGATCCTCAGATTTCAGCCTCCTGAGTAGCTAGGATTGCAGGAGTGAGCCACCAGCATCCAGCCAGTTGGGGCTTCATATTGAAACCCTTGATTTTTCAGGAGAGAACTAGTTAATGTGAAAGTGGAACCTCTTCCTACCTCCAACATCTAGTTGCTTTCCTTCCACTGTTACAGCCGCATTATGGTTATTGTAGCCCTGGCAATCTGTAATTCTGTGACAAATACTCTTATTTACAGACAATTCTATGCTTGTATTCTATCTATGATTATATGTGTGAAATTTAAATGTTCCTGTTTAATCTTATAAGTTCTTAGATTGATATATTTCAAATCATATATTAACACCTCTAGGGCCAAATATCTCAAAATTTGACATAATCCCATGGTATCAGGAGATGTGTTGAGTTGCATTATGAAATTTGTTCTGGAAATTCTGACTTCCCTGTGTATTTTCCATTACTCCAGTATAAAAGTAGTAGTCAGTGAATATATTTAAAGGGAAAAATAAATATTAATGTACTTGATTATTTATGCTTCTCAGTTAAACTTCCTTATATGTGTCTTTAAGACCTGCTGTGATGACAGAGAAAAATCTCCTCTCCCTACCCCACTTCCCCTCCTTTTCTCTCTCCTTTTGCTTTATACTGGGGCTTGCACTCATGGCTCTTGCTTGCTAGGCCAGGCACCCTTATCACACACCCCCAACCCCAGACAAAAAGTTTAAAACCTCAGTTGGCTATAATGATTTATTAAATAGACTTTCCCTTATTTATGTTTAAACTTCAGAAGAAACACATGACAAGAAAATCTGTGTTATAGGGATTGATCCCAACGCTTTTCTCACAAGTCCCTTACCCCTGAGCTACATCCCCAGCCTTGGTAATAGTTGTGTTTTTATGGGTTTTTTTTGTTTATTTATTTTTTTAAAATAAAAACCTTTAGGACTATTTCTAGGAACATATCCAGTTCAGCTTTCACATTCCTTGTACTTATGAATTTCTAGTGTGGAGGATGGCTGTAGATGCCATGGCACGTGTCTTGTTTTCTTAGCTATTCAGAAGGCATAGATAGGTGAATTACAGTTGGAGTCTGGCCCTGAGCCAAATTGTGGCAAGCTCCAGGCCCTCATTTTAAAGTCCAGTACCAAAAAAAAAAAAAAAAAAAGGAGGTGCCCTCTATTTAAAAGAACCACAGACTTATCTTCCATGAACTTCCTAAAGAAAGATAAGGTATTGATATATTTTGTGGCTACTTTAAGAATTAATAATGGCATTTAACAGTAGAATTAATAATGGAATTTTTAAGGTGAGTAATATGGCTCATGATCCCAGTTTCTCAGGAGGCTTAGATTGGGAGAATTGTGGTTCATCATCTCCAGACTAAGTAAAAACATTACCGAGACCTCCAGCTTAACCAATGTGGGCACAGTGGCATGCTTATGTAATTCTGGTTGCCTAGGAGGTATAAGTAGGATGATCACAGTTGAAGGTGGCTCCTCACAAATGGTAAACCCTAACTGAGAAATGAACTAAAGCAAAAATGGCTGGTGTTGTGGCTGACATGGTAGAGTATCTACTTTGCAAGTGGGAGTTTGAGTTCAAACTTCAGTACCACCCCCTAAAGAGTATTTTTTTAAACCACCATCATCATAATTATTAATAATAGCCTCCAGTTATTTATGTGCCATGTATTCTTTTGAAAAACCATCTATACTTTTAACCTACATTTTGTGCTATATAGTCTTCTTACCTAAATTATCATCTATATTTTTATTTTCTCTCATCCTGGAACCTCCATTTTCTTTTTTTGTCAATCGTGGGGCTTGAATTCTGGGCCTGGGCACTGTCCCTCAGCTCTTCAGCTCAAGGCTAGTGCTCTACCACTTGAGCCACAGCACCACTTCTGGCTTTTTCTGCTTATGTGGTGCTGAGAAATCAAACCCAGGGCCTCATGCATGAGAGTCAAACACTCTACCACTGAGCCACATTCCCAGCCTGGAACTTCCATTTTATAAATGAAGAACACAAAGCTTAAAAAAGGTTTCAAGTATTTTGACCAAGATCACATTGTTAGCAAGTGACCAGTTCTATTTCTGGAGCCTAGTTCCTAACCACTGTCCTGTAATGTTTTCTTTATTGAATATTTCCAGTTAGCTGAGGAGGCACTACTGTACTCCTTAGGATAAACATCTTTATAGTTTACAGGATTGAAGAAGCAGTTCTTACAATTAGGTTTTAAAATAATAATCTTGTAGCAAGGCATTTTTGGTTAATCCATTTTATTTTTAAAGCACAATCCTACCTTCAAATGTGTTTATTAAGCACATTTACTGTTGTGGTATACTTTTTATAAAATCCCTAGTACCTCAGAAAGCTATGTATTGCCCTTTTAAACACTCTACAACCATGTGACAGGAAGAGAAATGTAAACTGATGAAATACAGTTTCCTACTTTAGTACATCATTTGAGGAAAATACAACTTGTTCCCCCACGACCTTATAAAATAATGAGACTGCATGGGAGTGAAGGGAGAGAGGAAAGAGAATTTATTGTCCTAACAGTAGTTATGTGCTTTGACTTGCCTGACTAAGGAGTTACTATTATTTGTTTTGCAAGAGCGTAAGCTTTCCTCTCTGATACCATGGAGATCTCATTGACTAGTGTTATAGCCCCTAGTGCTTATAAGGATTTTCTTTCAGCTTAGATTTAATCCCTTTAAACTCCTAGGTCCAGGGATAAATGTTGATTTTTCAAGATAGTTTTTTTACCACCTTGAATGTGTTTGAAAAATGATCCAGTCATTTTCTGCCTTATTCTTAAATATTGCTGTGTACATCATGTTTCTAGGTAGGTGAGCTGGTGGAACAATATGAAGAGGAGAAAATAGATTTTTAAGGAAATTGGCCCACAGAAAGGATGGCCTTCTTGGACAATCCAACTATCATTCTAGCTCATATTCGGCAGTCACATGTGACCAGTGATGACACGGGAATGTGTGAGATGGTCCTCATTGATCATGATGTTGATCTAGAGAAGATTCATCCTCCTTCAATGCCTGGAGACAGTGGGTCAGAAATTCAGGGAAGCAATGGTGAGACTCAGGGCTATGTATACGCCCAGTCAGTCGATATTACCTCAAGTTGGGACTTTGGTATTAGAAGACGCTCAAATACAGGTAAACATTGGCTTCTGACTTTAAATTAGTAAACAATCTTATGGGATAATGCGTAATGTTGGAACTAGTGTAATGGGGGAAGTTCTTGTATGCTAATGGGACCATGCATATGTCAGACTGGGAGGAAATCTGTTGTATCTCCATCTATGTGAGTGGGAAATGGAAAGTACCTCTGGAATGCTGTTAGGAGAAAGTAGATGGTAAAGGAAGAGGTGGGAAAGGAGAGAAGGAGAGTCATGTGTAATGTTATCTTTCTAAAAAGTCCCTGTGTAGAAAAGGAAGTGGACTTGTTTGGTATGTCTTTCCAGAGGAACATTTAAGTCCCAGTAGATAGACCACCTGGAGGCAGACTTAAAGATGATGTAATAAAGAGCCGTTAGCACTCTGAGCTGACTAGCCAAGGCGTGTAGTCTACGGCCTCGGGCAGTTCTTGCTCCTGGAGGAATTGGGGGGATGGGGAGTGGGCTGAGACAGCTGAACATTTGTTAAGCCTAATTGTAATAGGAATTCCCATGTTGGATATACAATTTAAAAAGGGATTCCTGTTGTGGATGTTTTACCTTTACTTTCTTGTTGACCTTTGTGGTTTAAAAATGATCAACTTTTGTGTATGTGTGTGCATATATATAAATATAAATATATGTAAATATAAATATATATTTTTATGCACATACATATATATAGTTACATATGTATATATTACATGTTTGGTCTGTATATTTAATTTTAATTTTAAGCTTTTAAAAGTTTCTCATTACCCATTTCAGGTTTACTTTTTTTTGATAGCCTTTCAAGGAGAATGTGATAAATAAAATAAGACATTTACTTAAATGTTTTATTAAAAATACATACTATAGTTGTGATATGACAGGGTATTCTAGGAGCTAACCATTTTTATTTGGTCATCAAAAAATATGATCTCCAAATCAGCAATAACTTGCTAACCCTGGGAAAGATAGTAGTAAGAGATGTATTATAACAATGAAAATATTTACAAACTTACTTTCATGATTCAAAGGTAAAATATACATAAAGGAATATTGCAGGTATAGCTGAATACAATTCACAGTGAAAGGCACATTAAGGTTTTGTCTAAGAATTTAGCATCACTGATATTACAAAGAGTAATTTGCCTTCATGAAAATAATTAATAGCATTTCCCAGTATCTAAAGGAACTGTTATCAAAATAGGGCTTGAATATAATTTAGAACCATTGATTCTCAGTTCTCTAGTTGAAACTGACTTCCTTGCAAGTTATTGAGATGATATCTTATATGACAGGTTGAATGGATTTCTGTAGGAGAATGCTGCTAAATTGAGAGCTTTATGATTATATTACTTTGGCTGTACCTTTCATATTTATTAATTGCAATTGAATGCATTTTTCTTCAATGGGATTTAGTTAGATATAGTGACATTGTCAGGATGCTTTTTGCAGTATAGTTTCAATTTTTGGTAAGCATATTTTCTATATTTCTTTAACATAATGCTAAAACAGGAGTATATGATTTCCTACTTTGAAAGTGGTTGAAAACAAGATATATGTTATGTATTTTGTGCCCAAATAGATTGTTGAAGCTTAGCAAGAGAAATGAATTTTAGATGATGACATTGATTCTGATTTTCTAGTCCATTGTGATCTTGATGCAATGTTGTTAATGGATGCCAATGGCATTTCTTGAAAGGCTCAGCTCACTGATTTTTAAGGCTTATCAGCCAGTAGCAAGATAGTCACAAATGCATAGTTTTAGGTGAATCTTAGAGTTGGACTTTCTTTTGGTAGCACTAAGGTGCTAGTTGTCCTTGTGACCAAGGTATTTACTTTGTTAATCCTTTCAGCATATCTTAAATTTTTTAAGAGAAAAATTATTCTTTTTAAGATTTGACTAATGTACAAAGATACAAATCATTTATTTTACTACCTATAAACTGTTTCAGCCCACTGAAGAAAAGCTATGCTAATTTATATAGCTTTGACATTTTATAATTTTCATGATTTTTAGATAAAGGATTTTATATTTAAAACTTTAATAGTCTAGTCTGAGTTCATTTATCTTTAATTTTTGAAACGGGTAGAGTAATTCATAACAGTAATTTTATTCCTGTAATGTAATATTCACTTCAGTTCATTTGTGCATTAAAATTCCTTTAAGACCGTTATTAATGATTTATATAATGAAATGTCATATTAATCACAGAAGTTTTCACATTTTATTATTCTCTTCCATGTTAATACTATCTTTATGATCTCTATTAATGTTTTATATCCTCTAATTTCAATTATAAATCAAGAATATTTTCATGTTTTTGTTGGTATTTGCTTTTCAGGGGTGCCACCTTTAAAATTTTATGACTTTTTCCCTACATATGCAATATAAAACATCTTTATTCATATAAAGATAGTTAATTATGTCTTTGTTTATAGTAAACTTTCATTGACAAACTTATAGTTATAATATTTCTTTTCAAGCTCAAAGATTAGAACGACTCCGAAAAGAGAGACAAAACCAGATCAAATGCAAAAATATTCAGTGGAAAGAAAGAAATTCTAAGCAATCAGGTAAGTGGAAATAATTTTAATTTTTAACTTGAGATTTATATGTTTAGATTATATTATTGTATAAGAACTTTTATTTTTAATGTATCCTTTTGAAACCTTTTGACAGACAGTTCTTGTATTCTGAGTTTTGAGCTCTTTTACTTGGTGGCCTTGGCCCTCTGAATGTTTGTGTTCTTCCTGTCTTGTCTTTTGACTTCCATTCACTCTGAGTCACAGAGATTCATTCACACAGGAGACATTTTGTATACACTCATGCCAGAACTTTCTTCTTAGGGCCAAGGATTATTTCATTATTTTTATGGACTAGTCTCTGGGCTCTAGATTCATCTTTGCAGTTCTAACCTAGCCTTTTCTTTGCCATATTTGTGGTTATATTAACAATCTTTTTTGGATGTCTGCTAATTCTTTTAGCTGAAAATTATATTGCTGGTATTATATTACTATTTTCTGTATGTGTTCATAGGATGTGTATTTAAAGGCTGATTATATTTTATATTTCAACATTCAATCTCAGAAAACAAAAAATTAAAAAATAAAGAGCTATTAAGTTATTCTGTAATAGATATTTAATATTTCCTAGACTCTCTCTCTTTTTCTTTCTCCTATAGGTTGTCTACAGTCGGTCTTCTATATCCTCTTAGCATCTTCCAGTACCACTTTGGCATATAACAGATACCTAATAAATCTTTGTTGATTGGCTCCATAGGAATAGCAATATTAACAATTATATTAACAGAAGCACCTATCTAGTGCCGTGCCAGGCATTTTACATGCATCATCTCTAATGCAATAACTTCTGTTGTTGTTTTGATGGTTCTAGGGTTTGAATTTAAGGTCTCACATTTGCTGGGCAGGTGCTTTACCTTTTAAGCTACATCCTAGCTCCTTTTGCTTTAGTTATTATTATTATTATTTTTGGGTCCAGTTGTGGGGCCTGAACTCTTGGCCTGGGTGCTGTCCCCCAGCTCTTCAGCTCAAGGCTGGCACTCTACCACTTGAGCCACAGCGCCACTTCCGGCTTTTTTTTTCCTGCTTATGTGGTGCTGGAGGAATCGAACCCAGGGCCTTAATTAAGCATGCAAGGCGAGCGCTCTACTACTGAGCCACCTTCCCAGCCCCTAGTTATTATTATTATTTTTTTAATTTTAATTTTTTGTGAACATACTGTACTACTAGTTATTATTTTTTTTAACTAGAGCTTTACATTTATGCTTGGGCCAGCCCAGACCATCATGTATGTATCTGGAATGTCATGGACTACCACACTCAGCTGTTATTTGTTGAGATGGGGTCTTGCCAACTTCTTGCATGGGCTGACTTTGAACTGAGATCCTCTTGATTTCTACCTCCTCAGAAGCTAGGATTATAGGTGTGAACCATGGCTTTGGTTTAATACAATGATCTTGGAAGGTATTTTGTTTACAGATGAGACAGCCTCAGAGGGATTAGACTAACTTTCTAAAGTTCTGTAACTAGAAGGTAGTAGTGTAATATTTTATATCCAACTGTCTTTATATAAAAGTGTCTGTGCTAAACCACACTTAAGTTCTCCTTGCTTTCTTCTACGATTATAGACTACAATGTTCTCACTAAGTATGATTTTCTTGACTTTCTAAATAATGCCTTTGTAGAACTAGAAATCCCCATTGCAAGCAAGGTGTGGTATTACAGTCCTATAATCCCAACATTTATGGGACTGAGAGATTCTTGGGATTTTGAATTTAAGGCCAACTTTTGCTGCATATTGATTTTACCTAAAAAAACCCAAATCCAACTACTTCTCAAAAGAAGAATTCTCATTTGCCTGTGTTTCTTCCTTATATCTCACTCTGTGATTTCTTGTAGTTCTTGAATGTCTCTTTAGTTTTGTCTTGATGCTTTAAAGTCTCTGTAGTCTGCCTGACTGATCCAGTAAATATCAGTCTCTGTTTATCATTATCCTGTCCACTGTATTCAGAGTTCTGTTTATCTTAATATAGTTCCTATTAATCTCCTCTTAATACAGCCAGTTTAATTAAACCTCTCTTTTTAGCCATTCCTTATTTGCCTTGTTGACCTTCATACCTTAAAATTACCTTATTCACTTTCATACTTTAAAAATTACAAATAAAAATAGCTGTGTGACAGTAACTCACACTTGTAATCTAGCTACTCAGGAGGCTAAGATGAGGATTATGGTTCTAAGCCAGCCCCAGCAGGAAAGTATATGAGAGTCTTATCTCCAATTAACAACCAAAAAACCAAAAGTCTGGTCATGGAGCTGGGCTCAAGTTGTAGAGCACTAGCCTTGAGGAAAAAAAAAAAAAAGCTAAAACACAGAACTCAAGTCCAGAGTGGAAGCCCTAGTACTGACAACAACAACAAAAAAAGTGAATAAGATAAGTTCCTCAGCTTGAAATCTGATACATCTAATAAAGAAGAGGATTTTTGCTTGTTCTTCTCCCATTCGTTCCTTGGAGTTACACTCATTTTAAGTGTTTTGTAGCATACACTGGAGAAATGCATAGTTCCCCTTTGGCTTTTATTTGCCATTCTTGCTGTCTCTTAGATTTTAATAATTGACTCTGTGATTTAATTTCTAGAGAGGCTCCATATCATTCCTGTCCACACTTTGAAATGTTGACTCTGAATCTTTCTAGACAACAGTCTGCCTGGTGGTCATTTTTGATGGTTAGATTGAACCTCACTAGTGTCTGAATTCTTAGAGTATGTTTCATCTTTAAACCACAGCTTAGTATTCTAGGTAGCCTGAAACATGCTAGAAAAGTAGGTCCCTTAAGGGACTGGGAAGGTGGTTCAGTGGTAGAGTGTTTGCCTTGCATGTATGAGGCCCTGGATTCTATTCCTCAGTACCACATAAACAGAAAAAGCCAAAAGTGGCGCTGTAGCTCAAGTGGTAGAGTGCCAACCTTGAGGTGAAGAGTTGAAGGACAGCCAGGCCCAGAGTTCAGGCCCCATGACTAACAAAAAACAACAACAGGGCTGGGAAGATGGCTCAGTGGTAGAGCGCTTGCCTTGCATGCATAAGGCCCTGGGTTCGATTCCTCAGCACCACATAAGCAAAAAGAAAAAAGCTGGAAGTGGTGCTGTGGCTCAAGTGGTAGAGTGCTAGCCTTGAGCTGAAGAGCTGAGGGACAGCGCCCAGGCCCAGAGTTCAGGCCCCACAACCGGACCCAAAAAAACAAAAAACAACAACAAAATGAAGAGTTCACTAAGCATCTTCCTGGCAAACATTTCAGCCCATCTGTTCTTACAACCCTTTCCTGCCTCCTTTTTGGTGGTAGTTGGGTTGAACTTTAGACCTTGTGCTAATTCTGCTTACTTGCTCAGTTAGTTCTCTGCCACTTGAGCCACATCTTCAGCCCTGCTATTTGCTGGTTATTTTATAGATGAAATCTCATGGGGATTTCTGTCCAGCTGGCTTGGTACCAATATTCTGTCTCAGCCTCTTAGAAGGGAGAGTTATAGGCATGAGCCACTAGCATCCATCTCACACATCTCTTGAACACATGTTGTCCTTGGCAAGAAATGCCATGTCTAATTCCTTTTGATCTTCTTGGAATTTTGGATAGATAATCATATATTCACCTTCTCATTCTTTTTCTGCTTTTGTGTGTATGTGTGTTTGTGTGTGTGGGTGGTGTGTGCGCTGGTTCTGGGCACTGTCCCTAAGCTTTTGTGTTCAAGGCTAGCACTCTACCACTTGTGGCTTTTGGGTGGTAAATTGGAGATCAGAGTCTCATGGCCTTTCCTGCCCGGGCTGTCTATGAACTTTGATCCTCAGATCTCAACCTCTTGAGAAGCTAGGATAACAGCCATAACCCACTGGTGCTGAGCTCTTTTCCTGCCTTATATTTTTTGTTAAGATCATTTCACTTTTTTTTAAATAAGTTTTTTTATTGTGAAAATACTGTACAGAGGGGTTACAGTTACATGAGCAAGGTAATGAGTACATTTCTTATCAAGCATTGTTGCCGCCTCCTTTGTTTTTCCCCTACCATCCCTTCTCTCCCATCTCCTCAACTACATCCCCCCACAACTCCCTTCACTTGTTTTTTTTTCCCTCCTTTTAAAAATTTCATTCCCAACTAAAGGAATCAACATTATATATATGATACACTCTGATGAAACATCCTTGGTTTGAACTCTGGGCCTGGGTGCTGTCCCCTTAGCTCTTCAGCTTGAGGCTAGTTCTGCCACTTGAGCCACAGCGCTACTTCCGGTTTTCTGATGGTTTATTGGAGATAAGAGTCTCACGGACTTTTCCTGCCTGGGCTGGCTGTGATTTTTATTCCATCTAATTGTAGTCTATCCTTTAGAATTAGGAAGGATTTTAGAAGCTATCTAGTCTAGATGCTGACATTCTTTGTGAACTTACTGATCCATATGCTGTGAGACCACATGATGAGAGAAATACTTCAGAGTATTTAGTATTCCCATAACAAAAACTTTATGGATTCATATGAAGATGGTATAAACAGAAGAAAACAGGGAAAACATGTCAGATTCCCAATATTTTTACTTTTATTGTTTTAAATGATGTTGGAATAACTGGGGAGGGGGGTAATAGCTCCGTGGGCCCTGGGTTCAATTTCTATTAACATGAAAAACAAAAGTGATATTGGAAAATAGTATCTTTTCCATAGTTGATTATTACCCTTACTATTCTTTGAGTCTTATAACAAATGCTTTTTCTATAATTCCTGGATGCCTCAAAATCCTATGCTAGCTGCCTGGAGGAATACACTAACCTGTCTTCCAGAACTTTGAAGTCCAACTAGAAAACAAGGGTTTTTATGAATGAAATGATGAAATTCCAAATAACGATGTAGTTTGTATCAATTATATACAAATAGTCCTGAAGTTTTGTTTATGTTTTTTTTTTTTTTTTTTTGCCAGTTGTGGGGCCTGAACTCTGGGCCTGGGCGCTGTCCCTCAGCTCTTCAGCTCAAGGCTAGCCCTCTACCACTTGAGCCACAGCACCACTTCCGGCTTTTTCT